AGAGAGAGAGAGAGAGAGAAAGCTTGTCTTCTTCAATGTTCCCGTCTTGTCTTTACTTATTTCATACGGAGAGAGTACCTCCCGGTATCCGTAAGATCGAGCACAGACGCGGGTGTATGTGCATTTCCCCGCAAAGTGACTTCAACCACTGAAAACATTACAGTATGAAAGGAAAGATCAGCTTAAGCCTGGGCATCAGGTCATGGCCCCTTGGCTTGCATTTGGTCCGGGTAGGTGCTACGTACTGCTACGTAGTAGTTGAGACAAGTGTGTGTTCCTTCGAATCCTGCCGCTGTAAACTTTATGCAGAAGCCAGCAACTACCCACGGTACAGGCGTAATTGTTACCCCTTGAGGGTGCCTCAAAAGTTTAGTTTCCACTACTGTATAGACCCCCTGGTTACCCGACCCTCAGGGGGTAATACTTACGCCTGGGACGTAGCAGGTACCTAGGTACCTAGACGATGATATCATAGAAGTAGTACGCAATAATGGGGTATGTGCAGGTCCACCAGACCCCTCTGACAGAACAACATATCGTAAGTATTGTAAGTATCACTATCTGCATCAATTCGCATTCAGACAGTTGATCTCAAACATCCAGCTTCCTTCCGGATAACGAACACAACTTCAACCACCATGGCTTTCGCCCAACCACCTGCACCGAAAACAGCCCTTGGCTACTACCGTATGCTCGCGCCGACTGCCTCAGTTCGAGTAAGCCCTCTCTGCCTCGGGGCCATGAACTTTGGAGACTCCTGGAAAGATTTCATGGGCGAGTGCAACAAAGACACAACATTCGAGATCCTTGACTTTTTCTATGAATCTGGCGGTAACTTCATCGACACTGCCAACAACTACCAGGTTTGCAGCATCTCCAAACGTTAGGCATCACTTCGTACTAACGTAGTAACAGAAGGAAGAGTCCGAGATCTGGATTGGTGAGTGGATGAAGAAGCGAGAGAACAGAGACCAAATGGTCATCGCCACCAAATTCACGACCGCCTATCGCGCTGGTTATGGCGAGAAGGAGATCATCGTCAACAGTGCTGGCAATGGAACGAAGTCATTGCACCTTTCGCTCGAAGCGAGCTTGAAGAAGCTGCAGACAAGCTACATCGACTTGGTAAGCCTGAAGTGAGCTGCAAAATACGAGATCCTCTAATCAACGGATCTAATAGCTGTACGTTCACTGGTGGGATTTTACGTGCTCTATCCCAGAATTAATGCAGTCACTCAACCACATGGTCGCCTCAGGAAAGGTTCTCTACCTTGGTATCTCCGATACTCCGGCCTGGATCGTGTCAAAAGCGAATGAGTACGCCAGACAAAACTGCCTTCGACAATTCTCCGTATACCAAGGACGCTGGTCCGCTGAGCACCGAGACTTTGAGCGAGACATTATCCCCATGTGCCGTGAGGAAGGCATGGGGCTTGCTCCATGGGGTGCACTGGGAGGAGGACATTTCAAGTCCGATGCGCAACGCAATGGTGGCGACAGCGCTCGCAAGTTCGGAGAAGTGAGCGACGCTGCTAAGAAGATCAGCAAGGTCCTCGAGAAGATCGCCGAGGCAAAGAACACGCAAATCACTAGTGTCGCGTTAGCGTATGTCATGCAAAAGACGCCCTACGTGTTCCCTATTGTCGGCGGACGCAAGATCGACCATTTAAAGGGTAACATTGATGGGTTGAGGTTGCAGTTGACGGAGCAAGAGATCAGCGCGATTGAGGGGGCGAATGCTTTCGATATTGGGTTTCCACACAATTTCCTCGCCGGGCCTCAAAATCCAAGCGGAGTCAAGAATCCCGGTGATGTTTGGCTCATGGGCATGGCGGGACGACAACAACATCATGAGCCGCCTAAGGTATGCCCATAGTCAGATACATTTACTGATTTACTAACCATAATTAGGCTCTTGGACCCGTAGAGCAGTAAAGAAGGACGAAAGCGACTGACATGGTAGGAACATGGAATATAAAGTGCTATAATTTGCAGAGAACATACCACTGAAACATTTGATCCGCTCTGGAGGCTATTGTAACCCTTTTACTCGCTCCGACTGCCTGATTGAGAGAAGAATATGAACCAAGATAACACGCGTCGCACTATCTTATCGGCCACTTGGCTGATTCGCGAGCATTACGGCGGATCTCGAAGTGGAGTTGAGTAGTTGATATTGATATTGATGGTGATGGTGATGTTGATGGTGATGTTGATGTTGATGTTGATGGTGAGGAAACGGAACTTCGTACGGACTCTTCTCACTTTGAAATTCATTCAATACTTACTAGCGTACTTTGGAGTTAGTGCGTTTCACCTTACGTAAGTAGTTATTTAGCTCGGCAAGGCTGCGAAGCTCCGTATCCGTACACTCTCAGCTATGGAACACCGAGATTTATCTCACCTTGGAACCTCATTCACTGATCGGCTACTTTTTTCTTACCATTGAGCGAGATACACAATGTACTTAACCAACTGTAACTGTCCACAATATCTAGTATAAGAGCTAGCCATCGCTGCCACTTCTTGATCCCTCGAACCACTTTCACTTTCCAATCTCTTCCTCGACCCGTCAAAGTATCTCCGAGCTGTGACTACACTGTTCTGATTGCTGCCGCTTCAACAAGCGCACCTTCTTTTTACTTACCCCATCTCATAAGCCTCCATCTCGCGCGAGAAAAACCCTCCATTTTGAGACCCTCACAATGGAAACCTTCTACAGACTCAAGGACAAGGTCGTCAAGCTCCTATCCCCAGGTCCGAAGCGTCGACGCACTCTCGGTCCCAGCACCAGCACCAGCACCCCCTCCAGCAAGGAACACGCTTACCTCTCGCACTCCGAGCCTCGAGACACAAAGGCACAAGCTGCTATGATTAACCGCCTTCATCAAAACTACCCCTTGACTTTCGGACCAAAAAATCCCCGAAAACGCACGCGCGTCGAATACGAAGATGAGGAGAAGGAAGTGGTCATCTCACCTGGCGACTCGATCTCCCAGAAGAGTTCACAAGTTGGCGACGATGAGGCGAGTGACGGTGGAACTGGAACTGCTCTGACTTCGCTAGCTGCAAGTGGTGGCGATGATATCATCGAGGAAGAGATAGAGAGTGAGCTCGTTGATGGAAGTGATGACAGCGGATCACAAGTTGCGAGCGAGGATAGCGAGTCTCTCGATGAAGCGGAAGGAGAAGAGGGAAAGAGCACTCTCGTGGAGGAGGACAGTGACTCAGTGGAAGAAGGAGAGGAAGAGACCGAACTCGTCGAAGGAAGTGAGGTTGAGGAAGAGCAAGCGGTTAGCGATGAAGATCGGGAGGTGATCGATGCTGAGCAGATCTACTCCGACGAAGACGAAGACGAAGAGGTCGATATCGACGAACGAGAAGCCGCTGAAGCCGAGCGAAAGGTCCAAGAATACCTGGCCAGACAGGCTGAGCTTGCTTTGAGAAGAGAAGACGTCGAGAAGGTCAAGGCAGCTGGCGGTTGGGACCCAGAATCTCTATTCTTATACGAGAGACTTGCCTTGCGCAGCTTCGAGCCGCTCATTCACAACTATTGGCGAATCGACTTTCCGACTCTTCCGGAGGATCTCTTCACCCCTGATGAGGAGCTTACATTCGTCAATTCAAATTTCCGTTCCTCCGGCAGTGGTAAGTCACTTCCAATTTTGTTTGAATATCTACTCATAAAGGTGCTAGGCGTCAAAGCACTGCAAAGCCTGATCAGTCTCGGTGTCCGTGTCCGTGACAAGCTCGAAGCTGGCGGTAGTCCAGAGAAAATGGTCGCCCGTGCGATCAAGGGTTATTTGAGATGGTCCGAGAGAGATGGAGGATATGAGAAGATGATGTACATTCCGGTCCACACCATCGTTTGTGCCCGCTCCTCGCAATCAGCCGGTTCAATCACAGCCGCCATTACGAGCCAGATGAAATTCCTCGGAGACAGACACAGGGAGAACTTGTCTATTCCAGGTGGACAAATCAACGAGGTCGGTGAGCTGCAAATGTATCGCAGACCACTTCCAGTTTTGTATGGATTGATCGTAGCTCAGGTATGTTTTTTCACTCACCATTCAACACATTGTCAATATCTAAAGAGTAATAGGCCAAGGTCATTCTTGCCACTTGCTCCTCTGCCGAAGATGCAACCATCAGGCATATTGGTCACGTCGATTTCAAGAACCAGGACATGGACGTCTGGAACGGCTTCGCGATCGCATTCATGTTCATCGCTGCCCGCAACTACATCATGTCTATCAAGGATGAACTTGAGGTCGATACCACGGCTGATGCCGATGAAGATGCATGAAACTACCGATTGCTTTTTTTTATGGTAGATCCGGCATCCTAGACTCAGTGGACGTGTCACATTTGTGTTTTAAATCATTTGAACAGCTCGACAGAAGTATGGTGGATTCTTCGTGCAGGAGTTTCTTTCGTTGTTTCGAGGATACCAATACCCCCCCTGAGTCAAAGCCCTCGGCTCAGCTCTGCACACGCTTGTACTTACAATACCACTGATTCAATTGAGGATTTGAATAGCCTGTACAAAATTCGGTGCTGTGCATTTCGCTATAGTCCCAGTGATCTAAAACACCTGCAATGCATTCCTAGCATAACGTACACCCATCGTATCTTTCCCGCTCAGGTTTCCTTTCTCCATAATCAATTTTTCTAACACCCATATCATTCCAATCTGTAACCACAACTTCAGTCCTTCACTCCTAGTGATCCCCCTCTTGCGCAAGTTGTTCTAGCGCCTGCACCGCATGGTCCAACTCCCGGATTCTATTCCCCACCCTCTTCTGGATCTCCTCCCCCTCCCTCCCGCCCAGCGCCTCCTCATACATTCTCTTCAACTTATCCAGCTCCTCCCTCGCAGCATCGCGATCCGCCTGCGCATACACAGTCTGCTTCTCCGTCTCCTCAGTGGCGATCTCAAACTCGTCGCGCGCGACGGCGTACTGGTCTTGGATGTCTTCAATAAGGGAATCAGCTGCGGATTTGGCGGAGTACGGTCGCTGGACGACAGTGTGCCTGAATTGGGATTTCCGGCGGGAGCGTTGGACGGGGGTTAAGGGTTGGGAGAAGCAGGATGTGGATTGAGCGGTACGGGTCAGGAGGGAGAATTGTCGCGAGGATAAGCGTGAATATTGCCCGGAGAGAATGTTTCGAGTCCCACGAGCTGGCACGCTCCTTAATGAGAACATTCTGGATTTCTTGACGTCCTCTGATGTTCTTGGGTCGGAAACGGGAGTTTTGAGAGATGGGGATATTGAATGACGATGCTCAGCCAAGGGCGCACGGTGCAGCCTTGCGGGCTACTGCACGCATCCCTGCAAGGGTGGTGAGCTCGGACAGTTCCCGTCTCTTCAATAGTTCGCATCGAACTACCGAATACTTTTCTCGTCTTCTTTGATAACCAACGTAACTTGAGGCATCAAAGAAAACAAGTATGGCAGAATTAAAGGAGCATCCGATCATCCAGGCGTCGTATGTACGTCAGGCGAGAGACATCGCAATGGGCGTGCATCCGCTCTCGAAGAACGCTCTTTCCCTCTTGCTGCTGACAGACGCTCTTCTCACCAGCTTGATTATTTGGAAGGTTCCTTGTGCGTACCTCACTTTTATCTACTTTCTTTATCAAACGTGAGGAGAAGCTGACGGATCAATGGCAGATACGGAAATCGATTGGAGCACCTACATGCAGCAAGTCGAGCTGTACATCAAGGGCGAGCGCGATTATACCAAAATTACAGGCAGTACCGGACCGCTGGTGTATCCCGCTGCGCATGTTTATATCTACTGGTTGCTGTACGAGTTTACGGGTAAAGGGAGCAACATTTTGCGCGCGCAAGTCTTGTTTGGGGGTTTGTATCTGGCAACGTTGGGGGTGGTTATGAGTTGCTACCGAAGGGCGAAGGTATGATGTTTTGCAATTGGATCTACTGGAGATCTTTCTTCCTACTTGAATAAGCTAACTGACTATCCAGGCACCGCTCTATATCTTCCCCATGCTCATCCTCTCCAAGCGACTCCATAGCATCTTCGTCCTGCGGCTGTTCAACGACTGCTTTGCAGTTTTCTTCCTTTGGGTCGCCATCTACTTTTTCCAACTCCGGATGTGGACTTTAGGAGGTGTGGCATACAGCTTAGGGGTTGGGGTTAAGATGTCACTGCTGCTGTCTCTCCCAGCGGTGGGAGTCATTTTGTTCTTGGCGAGAGGTTTTCAGGGGGCTCTCAAGCAAGCCTCGCTTATGGCCCAACTTCAGGTAGTCCTTGCGCTTCCATTTATCTCTGGTAACACAATGGGGTATCTGAGCAGGGCTTTCGAGTTCTCAAGAGTTTTCATGTTCCAATGGACTGTTAATTGGAGGTTCCTGGGTGAGAAGACCTTCTTGAGCAAGAAGCTTGCAGTAGCTCTGTTGGCTGGACACATCAGCACGCTACTATTGTTCCTCTATACACGCTGGCTCAAACCTGCAGAAAAGTCATGGATGGAACTGATCAACAACGCATTGAAATTGCAGGAGCCTTGTGGGAGGATGCAGCACGCAGTTTCGATTCGAGTCTCGCCAAACTATGTCTTGACGACTATCCTCACTGCCAACGCTATTGGAATGTTGTTTGCCCGCTCGCTCCACTACCAATTTTACGCTTACATCGCCTTGGCTACTCCGTTCCTTCTGTGGCGCAGTGGTATGCACCCGATATTCCAGTACGGACTCTGGGCCGTACAGGAATGGGCTTGGAATGTGTATCCTAGCACAGATTTGAGCTCGAAATCGGTGGTTTGCATTTTGGCTATTACCGTTCTAAGGATGTGGTGGGGGACTCGAACAGATTTCGTGGTTCCTCGGGGTGATGGGGCTGCAAGCAAGAAGCTTACTTGAACATCTGCTCATTCTTCGGGACTATTCGTCTTCCGAGTCTGATGGTGGCATCTTTCCGACTGTCGATTCCTCTTCGTCCGAATCCTCTGGGTACGCCGAGGCCTTTGGGAATTCCTTTGGCCTACCCGCAGGACAATAGTAAGCGGCAAGTCCATAAACGACCACCTCAGTGATGAAAGCTCACCAATAAGCCTCCTTTCTCCACAAATGCTCATCCCGAACTACGTTCATGATCTCGCCGTCAATCTTGTTCTGTCTCACTGTAGCCTCTTTGGTATCGATCAGGACATAGCCCCCACGCTTCAGCCAGATGGTGTTGCGGAACCGGGACTCGAGCTCGACCAGAACGGTCTTTTGATTGGGGAGCAAACAGGAGTACAAGCTATTTCCTTCGGCTTTGATCACACGTGCGATCGATTGGGTGGCAGTCAGTTCAAAAGGCGGAGTTGTGGTCTCGTCTGCAGCTGCGACGACGTTGCGCTTTGGTCGACCCATGTTGAAATTTGTGGACTGGAAGCAAGCTGATTCTTACTATGTTTTGCAGTCGGATGTTGGTGCTGCGCGACTGGGACTGGGTCGTTCATAAAAGCGTGGAACACCTGACGATTTATCTATCCGGGCTTTTCTCCTGCAAGGAACTGCGCTAGGAAAAATAATTTATCCGGCTCGGAACTAGAGCAGGGCATCTTTGCTGGGGGGCGCTAGTAAGTCAAGCTCGGAGAGGTCGAGGCATGCAAATCGATGCATGGAATACTCACATGTATGATTTCTCAGCAATATAACCATGCAGCGAAAGGTATTTCTACTCACGATCTGAATGAGGCTCATATCAAATCAATTCAATTCCGAGCCTGGCTTTATAGCTTGCAGACAGCAGCTCTATGCATATACTAAGTGGGGGGCTCAAAAGCCCATCGTCATGTAGTTCGCCGGACTTCTGACCATGGAGCTCGTCTCCATTTGCTAAGATATAGTCAATTCCATAATCTTTGGGTCGATTTTTTTCTTTTGTTAAATAGTTACCTTTGTCTCTCAATGCCTGCCTGCTTACAAGGCATCGATTCTTTGAGCACATTTGCCACAACTTTATCTGCTATAAGAAAGTGCTGCCGAAATGAATCCTCCTGCCTTTGGCGCTTTTGTCAACAGTCGGCCTTCCTGAGCAACTAGGAAGACCACCCACCACCAGCCGCTCCCCCGAGGGCTTTTGCTCGCAGCTACCATTCTGTTCCGGATCCAATTGAACTCGATAACTTAGAGTGGCCGACGGACCTCAATGGCTCTGGACAAGGCGCGCCTTTTGTCTCCCGGCCCCAGACTCCTTTGGAAAGCAATGATCTTGAAGCCCTAACAAGTATAGGATGAGCTCGGTTTGTTTGATGAACTTTGGAAATGGCTTGAGCGATTCAGCTCCTGGAGCACGGATTCCTTACATGGAGACGTAAGTATGCACTCCACAAATTATACAACAGAACTGAGTTTGTGCTAGACACTACACAATCAGTTACACGGTCGTATCCCTCATCTTCGTTACCAATGCTATTGGGTTCATGTCAGCTGCCTTCTTCGTCGACGCTATCCGAGCTCGCTTGGGACGAGCAAAGACTCTCATGATTGCACAATCCTTGATGACCTGTGGCTACATGCCAATCGTCTGCACACCGCCATGGCTAGTCGTCATTGTCTGCTTCTTCTTCCTCTGGAACGGGATGGCCTTAAATCTCGCACTGGGAAATGTGTTCGCGGCAAACCTACACAATAGACCAAAGATGTTAGGAGCCATGCACGGATCATATGGAGTAGGAGGAGCTATCGGCCCATTGATTGCAACAGCTATGGTTAGCCAGGGACATCTTCTCTGGAGCAGATATTACTTGATCCCCCTCTCAATCACTCTGTTCAATTTGGCATTCGCTGCATGGTCATTCTGGCACTACGAGGCCGAAGTCGGTCTTTCTCTTCTCACTCCCATGGAGCAAATCGCATCTCGAACTCAGAACGCACCCGTCGAGCCAAACGTCAACATCAAAGAGCAATTGGCCAACATGCTGCGCTGCCTCAAAAGCAAAACTGTAATATTAGGAGCACTTTTCATCTTCGCCTACCAATAAGCCGAAGTATCCATCTCCGGCTGGGTCATCTCCTTCCTCATCACCACGCGACACGGTAATCCGGCAAACGTCGGCTACGTAACCTCTGGATTCTGGGCCAGCATTACTCTCGGGCGATTTCTCCTTTCCCACCTCGCGCATAAAATTGGCGAGAAAGTCTTTGTTTGCGGCATGGTAAAAGGTGCCGCGATCTTCCAATTGCTGGTCTGGCTCGTGCCTAACGTTATTGGTAACGCAGTCGCGGTATCGATCGTAGGGTTTTTTTGGGGCCAGTGTATCCATGTGCAACAATCATCTTTTCCAGGGCGATCGTGAGGAAGAATCAGGTTAGTAGCTTAGGTGCTATTAGTGCTTTTGGGAGCTCCGGAGGTGCGGTGAGTCCATTCACAGTCGGATTCTGGCTGGGGCTGTCGGGACGTTTGTGCTGCACCCTATTTTGTATTGGTTTGTTTGCTGTAATGTTGATGTGTTGGTTTTTCGTCCCGACGCCAAACAAGAGGAGTACCGAGTAGGACTCCAAAAGGGCTATGATTCGTGGAGATAGGGAACGCAAGTCGTGCAATGGGGATGAAGATCTGAGCATTTTATCATTTCAAATCTTTTTTTATATATCGTCCGCAATTTAGCGAAGGCACTGTGGCGTTAAGACTCTTGATGGGTAGTAGAAAGTGTTGTTGGACGTTAGGACACGGCTTGGGGCGTTGCACGAGCCTTCGTGGCGTTGGAGACCCTCTGACGTTAGGACATATTTTTCTGATCTGTTTTCAATGTTTGGAAAGTACAGGCACGCAACTCCGTATTGGATTGCAGCCTCTTGGCTTGGAATCTCCTCGAGCGGTCATTGGAGTTGATAGTAGAACAAAGAACTCTTATTTCATACGCACCTTATCGAATTTTACTTCTCTGTCATTCACTGAGACTGATACCGTATATACCGGTATCTACGAGTGGACGAGAGATGCCTCTCTTCTTTGACACGTGATCAGCCGTGCCACGCGACAGGATCCAAGCAAAACCCCCAGAAAGTCGTGGCGTCTGAAGCCGAGGCTCTTATCTTAAGCCGAATGTCACGAGCATTTGAAACAACGTAGTTCTCGTGCGATTCATTGTTACTTCCTTCCTCGCCACAGTCCTTTTTGTTTAAGTACTTATTTCGCAGACAGTCAGATGCCACATTTCCTCTAATTGACATACCGCCCTCACACCTCATCAACATCATGGCTTCAATTGCAAAGGTGCTGCGACCTGTGGTCCAAAGGGCTGCCTCGACCGCCCGCCCCTCCGTCAGACCTGCGCGAGTAAGCAGGATATATCAACAGTATGTTCATTCTCATTACTTGCCGCCACTCAAGCCCCAGTCTAACAATACCTCCAGTTCCAGACCTCTATCTGCAACCACACCCCGCCGGGAGGCAGTCGACATCACCGAAATCCCTCCCACGCCCATTACACACCTCTCCGAGATTGAGGCCGCTATGGCCGACTCGGTGTCCAAGTTTGCCAACGACGTGATCGTGCCCAAGGTCCGGGAGATGGACGAGAAAGAGTCCATGGACCCGGCAGTCGTGGAGCAGCTCTTCGAGCAAGGCCTCATGGGTGTCGAGATTCCCGAGGAGTACGGAGGCGCTGGCATGAACTTTACGGCGGCAATTGTCGGTATTGAGGAGCTGGCACGGGTCGACCCCAGCGTGAGCGTGTTGGTAGACGTGCACAACACCCTGGTCAACACGGCAGTGTTGAAGTGGGGGAGCGCGGAGCTGAAGAAGAGGTGGTTGCCGAAGCTGGCTACGAATACGGTCGGGTCGTTTTGTCTTTCGGAGCCGATCTCGGGATCCGATGCGTTTGCGCTGACGACGAAGGCAACGAGGACGGAGTCGGGGTACAAGATCTCGGGGAGCAAGATGTGGATTACAAACTCGATGGAGGCTGACTTCTTCATTGTATTTGCGAATTTGGATCAGAGCAAAGGGTATAAAGGCATCACAGCCTTCATTGTCGAGAAAGACATGAAGGGCTTCTCCATTGCGAAGAAGGAAAAGAAACTTGGTATCAAAGCTAGCAGCACGTGTGTATTGAACTTTGACGATGTCGAGGTACCATCAGGAAACCTGCTGGGCAACGAAGGTGATGGCTACAAATACGCTATTGGACTTCTCAACGAAGGCCGCATCGGCATTGCGGCCCAGATGACTGGTCTTGCGCTGGGTGCCTTTGAGAACGCTGTGAAGTAAGTATAACATCAGATTATGAACCCCACGGTCGCCCGCTAATGAGTCCTAGGTACGTCTGGAACGACCGCAAGCAATTCGGCCAATTGGTTGGCGATTTTCAAGGCATGCAACATCAGATCGCGCAAGCGTATACTGAAATCGCCGCCGCGAGAGCGCTGGTATACAACGCTGCCCGCAAGAAGGAGGCAGGCCAGCCCTTCACCCAGGACGCTGCGATGGCCAAATTGTACTCGTCACAGGTCGCGCAGAGGGTCAGCGGACAGGCTATCGAATGGATGGGCGGCATGGGGTTCGTGAGGGAGGGGATTGCAGAGAAGATGTGGAGGGACAGTAAGATTGGAGCTATCTATGAGGGAACGAGCAATATCCAGCTGCAGACGATTGCGAAGATGTTGAAGACGCAGTACACGAGCTAGAGCGGGAGAATGTTTAGCAAGACAGGTGGGGCCAGAATAAAGCTATGTTCTAGAGAATTGGGCTCTTTCGTTTTTTATTATTCTTTTCGTTTCCTGAATCAGCTACTCTTTCAGGTCCCTACTATGCAGGACGATGGCAGGACTTATGCAGGATTTTAGCGGGGTCGCTCCAGGGCCTGTCGGCCTTGGTGGCGGGATGTGCCTAAATGAGATGAGGAAAAGGTGGTTCAGGCCGGTTCAAAGGGAATAGAATAGAAAAAGAAATAGAAAAATGAACGGAACCAAGGAGATGAAGCTTGTCAGGAGAATTAGAAACGTCAAGTGCAGTAAGCCATTCAATTCAAAGAATAGGCCAAAATGGTGGGCCATCTTGCGATTAGAGTTCTGGCAGAGATGGCAGCTGTACCAATATCCATCACATCCTGATGATCTAATATAATGTTGAGCTAAATCT